TGCTGGATGCTCGATACCTTGAGCAGCAAGTCATAATCCTCCTTGTACTGGCCCAGTGAGGCCACCAAGACTGAGGCCAGGACGGGGACAATCATCCTGGAGAGCTTCTTCTTGGACACCAGGAAGCTGAGCAGGGTCAGACCCCAGTAGTGAATTTCTGCCGGATAGGAAGGAAGCATGAATTTTCATTTTATTTATTTATCTTTTGGAGCAGGGATTATATGAGCGCACCTCGATCCTGCGGGAACATCTGCAGCGTGTGGAGCACCGTGTCAATGGCCCCTTGTTGGCAGAGCAGGTCCACTGCACCTGAGCAGTCAGCCAGAGCGGAGAGCACCTTAAAGCCGCACACCTGGATGGTCGGACACCTGATGAACTGAACAGACAGAAGAAACCGGTCCCAGAATGACAATACAGAGGCACCGCTGTCATATTGTGCCAGACGGTCATGACACTGTGGCATTTGTACCCTATTGAGAACCTCCAGGTAGACTGCATGCGCTCCCTCCACCACACACTGGTTCTTTAGGACCTTCAGGGACACATCGACCATGTCGGGGTCTGCCACCGAGGCGCCGTGCTCTCGTAAACTCCGGTCTGGGAAAGTTTAGCATGCCGCATGCAGCAGGAGCATTTTGACTTCAGGTCTACTGACTGAATCATACCTGGACAGAGGAAGACCATGCTGGCCCGCAGGGCCTCCAGCTGAACCTCCGGCTGGAAGTTGTGGAACTTCATGACACTCAGGATCTGACCCACGGCCATGTTGAGCTCGTCCAGGCCGGCCGTCCGGCCCTGAAAGAGGAGGCTCAGCAGGCGGCAGGCGCTGACCGACACCTGGACCGAGGCTAGGTGCCTCTTCATCATCTCCGCCACATTGACATGGAGGCCGCTGGACAGCAGCGTGGAGCGCATCTTAGCTACAACACCAAAGTAAGATATTCCTTTAAATATAAAGTAATTAAAAGGTATCTGTGCACGTAGAGAGGACCCCTGTATATTTTCTGTCGGAACCTGCCGATTCACCTGTTTGCAGGCTTAAAAAAAAAAAAA